TATTTACCAACACTAATAGCACCTAATGAGTTTGAACAGTAGTATTTACCAGCACTAATAACACCTAATGAGTTTGAATATTAGTATTTACCAACACTAATAGCACCTAATGAGTTTGAACAGTAGTATTTACCAGCACTAATAACACCTAATGAGTTTGAATATTAATCTTTACCAGTACTAATAGCACCTAATGAGTTTGAACAGTAGTCTTTACCAGCACTAATAACACCTAATGAGTTTGCATAATAGTATTTACCAACACTAATAGCACCTAATGAGTTTGAATAATAGTATTTACCAGTACTAATAGCACCTAATGAGTTTGAATAATAGTATTTACCAACACTAATAACACCTAATGAGTTTGCATAATATATTTTACCAGTACTATTAGCACCTAATGAGTGTGAATAGTAGTCTTTACCAACACTAATAGCACCTAATGAGTTTGAATAATAGTATTTACCAACACTAATAGCACCGAATGAGTTTGTATAATAGTTTTTATAACACTAATAGCACCTAATGAGTTTAAATAGTAGTCTTTACCAACACTAATAGCACCTAATGAGTTTGTATAATAGTCTTTACCAACACTAATAGAACCTAATGAGTTTGTATAATAGTATTTACCAACACTAATAGCACCGAATGAGTTTGTATAATAGTTTTTATAACACTAATAGCACCTAAAGAGTTTGTATAATAGTCTTTACCAACACTAATAGCACCTAATGAGTTTGTATAATAGTCTTTATAACACTAATAGCACCTAATGAGTTTGTATAATAGTCTTTACCAACACTAATAGAACCTAATGAGTTTGTATAATAGTATTTACCAACACTAATAGCACCTAATGAGTTTGTATAATAGTTTTATAACACTAATAGCACCTAATGAGTTTGTATAATAGTCTTTACCAACACTAATAGCACCGAATGAGTTTGTATAATAGTCTTTACCAACACTAATAGCACCGAATGAGTTTGTATAGTAGTCTTTACCAACACTAATAGCACCGAATGAGTTTGTATAATAGTCTTTACCAACACTAATAGCACCGAATGAGTTTGTATAATAGTCTTTATAACACTGATATTTTTTACCCACTATAACAGCTGCTACCCTTGTTTAAACAGATGACAGTTAGAGAGAAGAAATTCACAAAATATGAAAAATGGGTTACACGATAACTGCTTGCAATAGTCATATACAAATGTGTGTGTTCATATATATATATGCATGCAATTTAATATTATGTTTTGTTCTGTATTTTCGCGTTTAATTCAACATATCATATACGCTCTTTGGAGTGCAATTTATACTTGTGTGAGTGTTAAATTTAAATGAAAATATAACAAAAAGCTATCAAATAGGAGGGTGTGAAAAGAAACACACTAAACAGTAGGTAATGCATTTTTCTAACATATTTTTAACGTGGACCGACATGGCTTATTGTTTAGTCCAATTCTGAATTTGACGGCTCATGGTTTGCGTCCCCTTGTCTGAAAAACGCGCTCTGCTCTTTAAGGTAGAGGGCGCGCTTTAAGAGTAACTGTGAAATCTTGCTATTCGGTGAGGTATGAGTAGCCCAGGAGTTGACGGTGGGTGAACTCTCCTAACGCCTCCAACCCCGAGAAAACGTTTTCCCTTTTGATGCTTGAAAAATGACTTTTTTTTTGTTTTGTCAATGAGCCCCTTGCTCTTTTATTGTCCTCTGCACGTTATTTTCTTCGTGATGTAGAATGTCAAACAAAATTGCCAACGGTAAATAAAATTGTTGGTATAAAATAACCACCTCAATAATTTCATCCAAGCAAACCTCTTAATGCGGAAAAAGGAAAATGTAGCGCAAACATTTAACATAAAACTAGATATTGCTTCTGTTCTCTTTTCTGTCTCGTTCGCTTCATCGTCACAACTTTTCATCAACAGGCCTCTTTTAAACGTAGCGAAAATAAAAAGCTTGAAAAACTGAAATGAAAATTTTCTTTCATGGTTATTTATTCATACACAGTACCCCCCCCCCCTCAGTAGCACAGCATTATGTTTGCTGATTTACAACGCTAAAAACCAGTTTTCGATACCCGTGGTGGGCATAGCAAAGGTAGCCCACTGTGCAGCTTCGTGCTTAACTTCAAACACAGTCAAGCTTAATGAAGTAGTATCCTAATACACACGTTATTGTTGTTTTCAGGGGGGGAGGTAATTAGAATTTTCGCAAAAAAATACCCATTGGCTATCTGTTCATAGCGTTCCTAATTTTGAATTATTAGAGGAAAGGCAAATAGTGCATAGGTGAGGAGAATGGGTTGCATCTAGTCCACATAGAATAATCAGGCGTCTTGTAGTAGTTGTGGACTTATTTTATGACCGAGAAAAAGGACACTTTGGAGGCGTTAGGAGAGATTGTGAGGAGAATGGGTTGCATCTAGTCCACATAGAATAATCAGGCGTCTTGTAGTAGTTGTGGTTTACGGTGCCTGCCGTTCGCTTGACTCAATTATCTCTATCTTCAATCTATCTGTATATCTATCTCTTATTTTATTTGCCGGACTAATATACTAAAAAAAGAGGGCGTCCCGAACAAACTAGACAATTCATAATCATTCGAGAAACTCCTAGCACACGCCACCAGTTTCACGTGACTTCCGCTGTCGTAACACTATAATAACATTTTCAGATCGATAGCTCACATGACTTTCACGTAGGCGTGCGAAAAATTTTCAGTCAAAACCGAGCGGTTTTTGTTGAATAACTTTGCACATGTGGCCAATACTTAGAACAGATCTGACAACTAATTTTAGGTTGTAAAGATCTATTAGTGTATTAAATTTGATAAAAATCCATGAAAGTTAAGTATGTCTTTCTATCAAACAAAGATGCGAAGAAAAAGAAATAGGAAGAAATGAAATCAAAATCATATATTTTATATCTTGTTTATTTCTTAATGGATTGTCTTGAAATTTGGTATGTGAAGTAAGGGTATAGTAGAGCATATTCACTGAAAATATGGGATAGTTTGAATTACTACAGTCTGAGCTACAGAAAATGGAAAATTGCTAAACTATCACTACTGTTAATAACACAGTGTGTCCTGGAGGTTGTTTTGGCCACACGACACAGTACTGCTTGTCTTGAACTAATCATTCATCAGTTGATTTTCGAAATGATCACAAGCATTTACAAACTTCCAACTAAAATTAATATCACTTCTATGGGAAACGTTTCAGTGACGTACACAGTGGCGTGACTGGGTGGGCTCAATCTCTGCCATTTTCGCTCTTACGCCTCCAAAGTGCCCTTTTTCTCGGCCATAAAGTATGTTAAAGTGTGTGAATCACTGTGATTTATAGCGTGTGTTATAAAAGTTGTTAAGTGTATTACAAAGTTGTATCGAGAAAGAATAAACTAGTTTTAATTAAGAAAGGACTTGTATCACTGAAGTTCCTCGGAAATAATTTATACCGGAAATTAAGGAAATTATCAAACGAGCAGATACGTAACAATGGCTTCACCTAAGAGTATAGGTGGACAGTGTTTAGTTTTTGTTATTCAGATTAAATAAGGCTGATTTAGAGCAGCAAATCTATAGGATGAAAGCACATGCTTATTAAGTACGTTATTATTTTAATTTTATGACAAATACGTGGACCTCATCAAGCTTTTTTCCGGTAAAATTTTAGATATAAATTCGCCCCTGAACGTATCATAAACATAACGTATTGCTTAAGATACTTTTTGCCAGGGGTTGCATAATTGTAATGACCAGAAATTTGTGGGCCGTATTTTGAATGGGGGTTGGAGCTATTGGTGACGTAACATAGGATAACATCTTTGTTTAATAACCAAGAAAAAAAAGGTCACTTTTGAAGGGAAAGTAATTTTACTAATAGCTAGCTAATTATTAAAGGCACAACCATTGACTGTAAATATAGTATCTGTACCAAACTGTTCTCACCCAACGTTTAATAACGAAGCAGTGCTGGCCAGAAATCAAGGTTTCGGTCGTGGCCTACAGGAAGCCTTATGAGAACCAAGGATTTACAGCAACGCTTGCCATCACTTCCGGCAATTGGCAACTGTACTAAAGTAAGCAGATAAAGAAAAGATAAGCGTAAGAAAGATGATATGATGATGTGTAACTTACGCATAATGTATGGCACTTGGAAAATCGTGGGAAGTAGTGAGCCGTTGATGAAGCGGAACACAGCAAACGCTGTAAAATTGGGTAGAACCAGAGAAATGACTCCAGACACAAACGTTACCAGGACACAGATGAAGAATGTCAGTTTCCGTCCTATTCTGTGGAATATATTTTACATCAATTGACCACGTGAGATTTACTTTGTTTGATGTTATTATTATTAAAAAAAAGTAATTATGAAAGCTTGTAATTCAATAACCAAAAATCAGAAGCGAGCGTCCATTTTGTAAATGGTCATGAAACTTGGTGACATTTTAAATTCCTTATATTTAAATTCTAATTTTCAAATCACCGACTAATGAATTACGTTTCTCGCATGTCAGCAAATCAAATTTGGAAACTGTTTAAAAAAGTGTTGAGATTTATTGATCCAACTCGGGACAATAAAGTAGAAACCACAACTTTATAGTGTAATATCTGAAGTTGATATAAGTTACTACTTTAGAAATTATAGTTTTAATATTATTATTGCAAACTGTGGTTTACTGACAACATAGAAACTATTTTTTATGGAGAACCTTTTGATTGTATTCGTGTTAGATTTTTCTGTTACTTATTAAAAAAAAACATATTTTTCTGACAAAAAAATAATAATAATTTCCTAACTTACCTGTCCGACATAATGCCATAAATTGGGGTCGCTACAGAGCCCCCTGCGAGGGCGAGGGTAAATATTAGTGAAGGCAGATGATTGTTTTCACAGACCAAATCCCACTGAAAAGTAAATAACGTACGTTATTAGCAGAAACAATATAACAAGTGCAATAGCTTAATTACTATCCTTAAGGGTTGTAAGTAGCACTAGCCTGAATCAAACTCAGTTTACAAAACAACAGAAGTTTATAAACCATTCTGATGCTTTATTGCTTTTGTTATTAATAACTAACTGGAGTACATACAAGACAGAGGATATAGGTAGAGGTAGAAGATCAGTGAATAGCAGGAACGAAAGTAGATATAGGAAGTCAATATATGGTTGTAACCAAAATAGTGATACAGGAAGTAAAAAGTGGCTGTTCCTGTGTATCTTATGTAACCGCTTTCCAGTGGCAGAGCGGTATGTCTGCGGAATTACAACGCTAGAAACCGGCTTTCGATACCTGTGGTGGGTAGAGCACAGATAGCCCATTGTGTAGCTTTGTGCTTAGCTTCAACAAAATAAACGAACATGTACCATTCTCTTATACAATTTGTTATACATTTTTTATGCCCCCCCCCCGGTTGGTTAGCGGTAAGCTTAACAGTCTAAAATTCGGGATTCGATTCTCCGTGGTGGAATATAACAGATAACACAATGTGGCTTTGCTCTAAAATAAACAAGCACATTTCATTTTAAATAAATAATAACAAATGCCAAGAGAAATTGATTATATCGTATTACATTTATCAGAATATTTACAATTTTAGTTTATTTTAGGGTTATATAGAACCACAATTTCTAATTTTGAGGTTCCCAGTGGGACATCGGTAAGTTTACGGACTTACAATGCTTAAAATTCAGAGTTCAATCTCTCGTGGTGGACTGAGCGCAGATAGCCCAATATGTAGCTTTGCTTAAGAGTCATTGTTAGTTTCCCATCAAGTGTTTGTTTTGAATTTCGCGCAAGCTACACGAGGGCTATCTGCGCTATTAGGCCGTCCCTAATTTAGCAGTGTAAGACTAGATGGAAGGCAGCTAGTCATCATCACCCACCGCCAACTCTTGGGCTACTATTTTACTAACGAATAGTGAGATTGACCGTCACATTATAACGTCCCCACGCTGAAAGGGCGAGCATGCTTGGTGGGACGGGGATTCGAACTCGCGACTCTCAGATTGCGAGTCGAGCGCCCTAACCACCTGGCCATGCCGAGCCCCCATCAAGTGTTTAGCCGAGACATTATTTCAAGCAGATTGTTCTAACTCTCAATGAATCATTCATTAAATTTGCCCTCCAATAATTTCATTACAAATTCTATTGGTCAAAATTTAAGATTTTTCAAAGTTAAGAGCTTAGTTTTTTTTATTTGTGAATGCTGAAAATTACAGTATTCTGGCCCACGTAGTTAGTTTTGTTTATTAGAAGTTACAAATTCAACAGATTCCCTTCTCCGTTTTAGTTGTTAATTTGTTTAAAGATTTTTGTTTAAAGTCTTTATTAAAACAATTGAAGAATCATACGAATTTATGCACGTATAAATAAGTTATTAGAATGATCGTAAGTTTTCGATCATAACACACGAAAAAAAAAACTTCTGGTCAAAGTTGTTAAGTGCATAAACACCCAAAAACTCTCTGGCGAGTATTGATGTTCTTTGGAAACCTCAACCCAGTATTAAGCCTATTAAGATTTTATGAATGCCTATGTTTGCTCTAAACATAAATAGATTCCCCTCCCCATCCTTCCCCAGTGGCTTAGTTGTAAGTCTGGAAGTTTCGACACTCGTGGTGGGCACAGCATAAATAGCCCATTGTGTAGCTTTGCGCTTAACAACAAACAAATAAATCTATACCTCAACTAAAAATGTCTTACTTCTTTCCTAAGTAATAATTATGGACATCGTCATGTTGTGATTAAGATTAAGTAATTTTCAGATTTTTCTATTTTCATATTTGATGTTTGTTTGTTTGTAATTAAACATAAAGCTACATATTGGGCTATCTGTTCTCTGCCCACCATGCGTATCGAAACCAGATTTCTAGCGTTGTAAGTCCGTAGACATACCGCTGTGCCACTAGGAGGCTTCGTATTTGATGAAAATATTTCAGTTGCTTATTCCGTATTGTCACTTTACCAGTAGTCAAAACATGGAGTTTAAAATAAGTTATATTTTAATTCACATTCACGTACATTTATGCTTGTTTCTTTAACTGACATTATCTGATTTAAACAACCATCAGTGTCTCTTGTACTAAAGCAGCATACCTACAGATAATGAATTACACGTTGTCTCTTGTACTAAAAGCAGCATACCTACAGATCATGAATTACACGTTGTTTCTTGTACTAAAGCAGCATACCTACAGATCATGAATTACACGTTGTCTCTTGTACTAAAGCAGCATACCTACAGATCATGAATTATACGTTGTCTCTTGTACTAAAGCAGCATACCTACAGATCATGAATTATACGTTGTCTCTTGCACTAAAGCAGCATACCTACAGATCATGAATTATACGTTGTCTCTTGCACTAAAGCAGCATACCTACAGATCACTAACAATATTTTCCTTTTAAATTAACCCGAAGAAGGACTCAGCATAGAATCTGAAACTTAATCCGTCGCGGGATCGAAACCCATTGCCGAACATGCTCGCCCTTTTAGCCGTAGGGGCGTCATATAGTATCAGTCAATTTCACTGTTCGTTGGTAGCCCACGAGTTAGCAGAGTTAGCTACCTTCCCTCTGGCCTGTCATTTCAAAATTAGGAAGGGAAAGCGTAAGCAGCGTTTGTGTAGACTTGCGCGTACATTCAACGAGCAAACAAACGTTTTAGCAGTTCATGCATATTAGATAAAAAGACAACTTTGACGAAATGAAATATAAGATATGTTCTCGCTATTTTGTGACTGATTTGCTATAATGCCAAATCAACTGTTATTCCGTTGAAGAACTTCCCAAAATGTTGTTATTTAGAGAAACTTTATGTGACGAACCTTTCTCAATGAAGACTGGGATGAAACAAATTGTTTTAAAGGTATACGTACCATTTATATAATTATGCTTTCAGTCCTGGGCTGACTGTGGCCCAGTGGTTAGCGTGCTAGACTATGAATCTGCGGGATAATTGTTCGTGTCCCGTTATCGAGAAAAATTAGCGCTTTACCTTTTGGGGTTGTGGATAAGTTATAAGGACGACAGTCAAATCTCCTGTTCGGTCAGATAAGAGTAGCCGAAAAGTTGTCGGTGAGTGCTGTTGATCAGCTGCTTTTCTATCACCTCAAAACTAGGAACGCCCACTACAGATAACCTTTCGAACCCCCCCCCCCACCACCACCACCAAGAGAACGGAGAGACGTCACAATTTAACAGTTCAGTTCAGTTGTTAGTAATGTTTCATGGATGATCCATTAATTCAGACAAACTATATAAAAGAGGTGTCATCCTAACATTTTGATTCGATGTTTTATAAAATCTCTAAGGGCTTGATACTTAAAAGACATGAACATACATTTCAACAGCTTGATTGTGGTCTATTAATGGTGACCTTGAGGTGACGGGAAGACTCCCTACTTAACAGTCCAGTTCCTGTTTTAACGTTTAGACTTAGAACATAACCAAAGTAAATTATTTTACGCATTTTTTTTTTAACCAGCACATTACACTGTACAATTTTGTATATGATTAAGACTAATGTTGTAAACATTGTTTGTAATATTTATCAGTGTTTTCTCTGGGTAAAAAAACAACATAAAAGTATCATCACGCTCCGATTTATACCAGTTTGAGGATATATAAACCTTCTGTATTGTTTTGTTTGTAGTTATGCACAAAGCTACGCAATGGGCCATCTGTGCTCTGCCCACCACGGGTATCGAAACCCTGTTTCTAGCGTTATAAGTCCGCAGACATACCGCTGTGCCACTGGGGGGCATAAACCTTTAGTAAGCTTTTTACTTATTAAACATGAACAAAATTGTATCTAGATATTTTGTTTTTGTAAAGTGTATTCAACATTTATATTAGTAAAGAAAGTGACAAGACATAGTATTTAAAGAAAGTGACAAGACATAATATTTAAAGAAAGTGACAATACATAATATTTAAAGAAAGTGACAAGACATAATATTTAAAGAAAGTGACAATACATAATATTTAAAGAAAGTGACAAG